TTTATCTGCGAACGTCTGCTTTTATCTGCGAACGTCTGCATTCATCCGTAAACATCTACTTCAATCCGCAATTATTCGCGAATATCTGATATTTTCTGTGAACGTCTGCTTTTATCCACGAACATCTGTTTTAAACCGCAAACATCTGCTTTTATCCGCAAACATCTGCATTTCTCTGCAAACACCTGCTTTCATCCGATTTCACCAGCAAACACATGCTTTTAATCGCAAACCCCTGCTTTCACCCGCGTTCGGATTTATCCGTGATGTCCTGCACTTCCTTCGTCCATTTCGGTTTTGTTTTACGTCTTAAGACGGCACAGCAAACGAAAAATTATAGAAGTGTATAGGATGACGCCACGTTTGAATATCGTTTTCTAAATCTCCCCACGGTATAGATTTGTATTCGTCAGTCGAGCGTTTCAATACTCTCCACAGTATAGAGGTCGTAATTTCACTTTTGAACTAGTATTAATATAAAAATTATTATATGCTTAAATAAAACTATATACGACATGATTGTGATTTTTTTCATTTTATTAATTAATTAAGCTGTGTTGAATATTTTTCTTAAAGGAATAATTGCCAATTGGCAATTAATGGGCCATTAATTCATTTGTTCGTAGATGCTACAATAACCTGCAATGGTGTGTACTTTTTCATCAACCAGATTTAAATATTGCTGTACTAACATATACCATGGTATATGCAGTGGAGATAGTGCAGGGTCTACCGACAGACCTCATTACTAAATTATTAAAGTTTAATAGCATATATGCATATTGATCCTTTTTTCAACATAACCTCTGAAATTTTTAATACAAATATAGGTACTTTATATAATACATAAATATACTATATACTATACTATATATATACTATATATCCTCTGTGCTTTACATACCTGAGTTGTTACGGTAAATAAAAATCAGACAAAGGAACCAAAGAAAGGAACTATTTTCAACAAAATCATATGCAAAAATGAGAAAATTCAAACTACTTGCATCCATCAAAAGATCAAAGCTTCTTGCAATATTACACCCTCTTTTTATACTCTCAGAAATATTGACTAGAACAGTATTAGAGAGACTCCAGTTTCTATAACTTGGTAGAGTAAAGAGAAGTCGAAACCGTTGCGATATTGCATTGCGCTGTTTTTGTATAATTCTCGGGGACATTAACGAAAATCATTGCCAGTAAAATTCGAAAAGCTTGAGTTTCTATGTCTCTGAGGAGAATAGGAATCCGAAGTTGCTGCACCATTGGACTGAACCCTTTTTTAATAATTTCTAGAGACATAAATGACTGCACCATTCGACAGGGTCGAGTTTCTACCTCTCTGTTGAATATAGAAAACCAAAATAATGTATCTTGTAAGACACCATTGAGTTTGACTTTAAATATAGTCGTGCATAGGTATAGAGCCGAAAAATATAAAAACAAAGCACGATTCAATACAGTTATGATAAAACTTTAAGATTTGATATTCAAACGCGGAGTCATCCTATACACTTCTATAATTTTCCGTTTGCTGTGGGGTATACCTACTTTACTTTACTTTAATTTACCTGCACACCATGGTGTGTCAAATTTTACTGACTAGTTGTTAGCCGTTCACAGCACAAAACTTTATAACTTTAAAAAGAATTATTTGAATAAAAACAACCTGTAAAAGAAATAAGTTTATTGAACTTCATTGCTATTTGGTAAAATACAAATAAGGTCTTTGTTTAAAGATGTTCGTGGATAAAAGCAGATGTTTGCGGGTGAAATTGGACTAGGCAGGCGTTTACGGGTAAAAGCGGATGCTCGCGGATAAAACCAGACGTAAGCAGACGTTTGCATATGATCCCGGACAAAGGCAGATATAAACTAAACGCAGTAGAGCCGGTAAAAAGCAGATAATTACGGAAGATTCCGGGGCTGCACTAACCGGATGAAATCAGGCGTTTGTAGATAGCATATGTTTGTGGGTGAAACCGTATGAAAGGTGCAGATGTTCGCGGTTGAAAGCAGATATTCGCGGGTGATTGCAGATATTCGCGGATAAAAGCAGATGTTCGCGGGTGATTACAGATGTTCGAGGATATAAGCAGATGTTTGCGGATAAAAGCAGATGTTTGCGGATAAAAGCAGATTTTGCTAGTGAAAGCAAATGCTCGCGGATAAAACCAGACATTTGCAGATGAAACCCGTCAAAAATAGACAAAAAAATGCAGGTAATCGCTGATAAAAGCAGACGTTTGCAGATGATCCCAGACAAATGCAGATATAAACAGTAGAGCCGGTCAAAAGCAGATAATTACGGGGGTGCACAAACGGGATGAAATCAGGCGTTCGCAGAAAAAAGCATGTTTGCGGGTAAAACCGTATAAAAGCAGACTTTAGCGGGTAAAAGTATATGTTCGCGGATAAAAACATATGTTCGGATAAAAGCAGATGCTTGCAATCATCTGCTTTTATCCGGTTTCGACGAAGAATTTATATCCGCAATCATCCGTCATTTTCAGCAGGGTAGCTTATCGGTATTATACCGAAGCAGCGGTGAGATATATCGCTATTATATTTGTTTATACCGTTAAAATAATTTATTAATTAATTAAATTTTTAGTAGCAAATATGTTTAATATTGGCCATTTTACCTATTAAGTAAATAACGCCTACCACAAATGTCAGGCATTTCTTCAGTGGAAGAGGGATTTGTAAATAAAAAAAATTAAATATTTCATAAAAATTATCAGGAAATAGGGTGTTTTGAGTATAAATAAAAGTCTTATTAAAGCACATATGTTTAATCTTTTTTTTAGTTATACACAGTTTTGGAAATATTTAATTATATGTACAAGTCCTGTTAGCGAGACCAACTAGAAAATACAAATTGTAATAAATAACAAAATTAATGATAAATATTCTAATATTTACGATCTGCATCAAACTGTCAAATTGTTTGATGCACGTTGTAGAGAGCTACTTCAGCTTAGCAGTTAACGATTTTTTTTAATTCTACTGAACTGTTCCTCTGTACACATATAAACTTTTTGGGTTCTGCCTTGTTACAAGTTGTGTAATTCATTGATATGTTGCAGCAATAAACAAACATTAATTTTACCTCTTGACTCAAATTTGATCACAGAAACACTAAAGTGGAAGAATTAAACAACTAAGATCCTCACATTCAGATTTATCTCAAATTTCTAAATATCTATAAACAGGGTGGCGCAAATGGAACGTTATGGTTTAAATGTTTTATAACTTTTGTAACTGTGGATGGTAAACTTGCGAGATTGATTTATCACGTTTAATTCAACAATATTTTCAAATAGTTGTATCTAGTATTTTTATTGAAATATTTTAAACAAAATTTATAGTTATAGGTAATTTTTCAGATTTTCAAGTAAAATTGTAATATAAAACCGCACGGGCCTGATCTAGAACCATATTATTTATATTTTACTTATTTTTACAAAAGTTTTAAATTTTGGCACCACCCTGTAAAATCCAAACAACATTTTTTTTATTGATTGAACTCAATATTTTTTTCTGATCTCACTGACAGAAGCATTACTAGTGCTATTATTTTTGTGATCTCAATCAAAGCTATTACAAAATAATCCTGAATTGATTCCTTCAGGAAATATTACACCATCTATAAGTTAAAAACAATTGTAAATAATAAAAGTATCACTTTTTAACAATAAAACAAAAATTAACATATACACAAAACGTTTATTTTGCACTTAAAATGATATTAAAGTGTTTGGTGAGGTAATTCAAATATATATGTACTTTTCAATATACAATGTATGTATTACACATACATACATAATGTATGCATGTATACACTAGGGTGGTTCCTAATAGGGTTGTTTTTGAATTGTTATGGTTTCAGGGGGTTAAATGCTTTCAAACTGATTTAAAAAAAACTCCCTGGAAATTTGAGCTGATTTGTAAAACTTTTTTTGCTCTTTCAAAATTTATAAGTCATTAATGAATATACCCACAATATAATAAGAGTTTAAATGTTAATTAACGTTCAAAGTTTAATTTATATAAAATTACATTTTTTTGGAAATATTAAAAATTTTAGTTACTTATTTAAGATTTTAAAAATTTTCTCCAAATGTTTTAAAATTTCTACAATTTCCATAATTTTTAAATTTATTAAATTTTCACTATAGATAATACTTGACAGAATTTTATAAAAAAATAAACTTTGATTAACATAGCAATTTTTTTCATTACAGCTTTTTTTACTAAAGTATTTTTTATTATTGTTGGTATATTCGTCAACGACTTATAAATTTTCAAAGTTTAATATTATCATTCTGTCATGTACATTTAGGATTTTTTTCAGAATTAGACGTCAAAAATTTGGGGGTTGGCAAATTTAGGGTAAATTGAAAATTGGCTACATTGAGTAGAAAAAACTAGTTTAGTGGAGAATATAATTGTGGTTATGTTATGTTAAGAATGTTTATAAATTTTGAAATGTCAAATTATGGATTTTTTTGTAATCTTTTTGGGTTAATAAATAAATAAAAAAAAATATATATATATAAGTTGTTAAAAAATGCAATAACTTTACCTTTGATGAAATATATGTGACTTTACGGAATTTGCATCCCCAACCTACAAATACACATGTATATTTATTATAATTCTGATAGTTAAATGACAAATGTCAAACGTATTTAAAAAAAGAGCTTGAACAGGGGTACCAATTTTAAATATTAAAAATACCAAAGTATATTAACATACAAAACATAATCAAATGTGTTGGATAAATAGAAAATTTTGGAAATTGTAGAAATTTAGAAAATTTTAAAAAATTTGGAAAAAATTCCTAAAATATTTTTTTTTTAAATTTATTGATTTTGATGAACTGCAAAATTTTTAATATTTTTAAAATTTTTAATTATGAACGTTTATATACGAATTTTTTGAATAAGAGCTTTTTTGTAGAGCATTTAATTCTCTACATTATTGGTATAATTGTCAACAAAAAATCACAAAGCGGATCTTAAAGTTGATTTAGAAAGCACAAATTTTCAGGGAATTTTTTTATTAGCATTTGAGCCCATGGGAGTAGAACAATTTAAAATAACCCTAGTATACATACTAGTCAGAAAAAGCAGAAAATGGTTTTGAATATTTTTAATAAACAAAAAAAGCAAGTAATACAAATAAAAACGAGTTAAAAATAATTTACCTTTAAATCACAATATGTTTAAGTCACTAAATAAAAATATGTACAAAAAAATGTGATCAGTAATTTGGTTAGAAAAACCCTAAGAAATCAGCTTTAATATCAAATTAATTACAACATAAGCCTACAGCTTTTCACAGCTCCAAAGCAAACAGTGCAAAAACTGCTTCAGACCTAATATATTATCATTATTATACACAAAAAACTTATTTTTAGAAAATAAATCTTACTCAAGGTATTTCTCACAGCACTCAAAGTTTCAACTCAATTTAATCGGCGTTCAAAAAATAAAACAACAAAAATTATTCGTGGACGAGTTTGACTTTTACCAAAAATAATTTATACAGGCAAAAATATCTTGTAGCAAAGATAGTTACTATTATTTTTCTCCACTATTTACATTTGTGTTTATTTGTATACAGCCTGTCCCATTAATTATGGAGGAACATTTTATTATGATGTTAAACCGTCATATTTTGACCTCTATTATCTATAACGGGACACCCTGTATATATCATCATCAACGTCGTTTTCCGTCATTTTCTAAAAATAAGCGCCCAGCAAAAAATACAATGCAATTTTTGCCGCCAACATTTTGCAAGAAAAAGCTAATAACAGAAAGTGCTAAACTATTTCTTTGTCGGTGTCCCCCTCTGTGTTAGACCTTCGAACCTCTTAAACGTATAATTAATAAACACCCAGTCTTTATAGTTCACTTCACCGTCCTGAGGCATGGGAGCTGCAGCTGAAAGAAAAATACAGTACCGCTGTTAATTAACTGCCAATTTTGTTTAAATCATAGAATATAATAAAGTAGAGCTGTTCAGTTTTTTTAAATTGAAATGTCCACTTACGTATCTCAAGTTTGACATCAGGGAAATCGTCAAAGTTGGACGTGTCGTCTATCGATCGAACTTCGACGGGTATGGCGGCAGGTCTTTCTCGAATATGCTCCCAATCGACACCGCGGAAGAATTGGTTTATTTTAAGATCGTCCAAACCCTTCTGAGATCCGAGCCTTCGCTCTGATTCGCAACAAAACCTGCAAACATTAGTAACGTGCTTTTATTTTACCCACACAAACATTTAAGCCGGGGAGGTAGCGTTTCGTGAAAACATTTATGTAAAGCTAGATAATTTTCCCATGATAGTTTAGACTTTATTAATGATGTAGTGTCCACCAAAATTTTAACGGTGAAAAAAAACCAACATTTTCTGTGAAAATGACACAATACAATGCAAATTGTAAATTTGACGTTAGTATTTCCATTTGAAGTTTGATAAATAATTTACAGTAGTAGGGTCTTTTAATCTCAAATCGACATACCCCTTTGTAGGTCGTTATTTTTCAACGCATTTTTTTTACAGTTTCTCTATAGAATTCTTTTTGCTTAAATTTGTTTTACTTACCAGTAGGAAATTTTTGAAAAATGGACAGTAATATCGATTTTTCTCTTTTTACGAGTGACATTTTTTCATGAAAATGCGATAACTTGGTCAAACTTGTCTGTGTAAATCAAAATTTATCCCTTGAAAATAGACAATCGATATAAAAGCAGTTTTTCACAGTAGAAGAGAAGAGAATGTTTTATGGGCACTGTACGCAAAATTTTTAACGCTTTATCAGAAATCTAGTTAACTGCACTACTACGGCGAAATCAAAAGGTCAGTACAAACGTGCATATTATCTTTTCAAATATTGGCGTCAAGAAACTATTTAATACTTTTGTATTCAGATAATAAAATAATTTTCACATTTAGTATTATTTTACAAAAAATCACTTCATTTTAACGATTTTATGACTTTTGATAACTGTTAACTAACCTGTTGCTAATTCCAGCCCGTGACTAAAGCGCCATAAAGACACAACTTGTCAATGTGTATTTAAACTTAGTGTCATGGAAACATATACGTACACGCCCATTGCGTTTTATAGGTGGGAGTAGAAAAGTATCAATATTAATTTTTAACTTATAGTTATAATGGCAAAAGGTTTAAAACTTTTATATTTATGGAAAATAACACTGTGTAGAAGGGTTATTTGCCACAAATTTCCCATTATTTCAAACATTTGTTTCCAAATATGAAAAAATAAGAAAATAAGATTATGTGATAGCTTAAAAAAAGCCCAAATGTAACTTAAATAATTATTTTTTTGGAATCTGTGCTTTAAAAAAATCTAAAAGTATTTGTGAATGTATCTGATGCCTCACAAAATCATATATTAAATTTTGAAGACATTGTATGGAAACTCCATTTTATGGAGATACTACCTTAATTATTGTTGATTGTGTCATATTTACAATTACGGTAAATTCCATAGACATATTGAAGTGGACGCGTAATCAAAACGTTAAAAATTGAGGTTTAGTAATACCAACTGTGAAAGTGCAAGTCTACCAAACTTTTAGTGGTGTTAATATGAGAAAATCAACATGTTCAATTTGAAAGGTTACTGAATCCGTATAATTAAAGTTAAGAATCTGTCAACAACAGTAAAATTGACCTTTCAAATTTAGCATGTTTAATTTTTTCCTCATGTTAAGACCGCTAAATGTTTGGTAAACTTGCACTTTAATAATTGGTATTGTGTAAACTATCATTGAAAAAATCTACCTATATTTATTAATGCCAAAAATCTGTCGCTACCTCCTTGGATATTTGATTTATACTTTGTGAGTCAATATTGACTTTTCCTCTACGATCATTTCGGCGGGACCTTGACTTATCTCATCGCCAGCATAAATTACGTTTTTTATGAAAATTTATCGAAATTTTAAGCACACAAATGCCAAGTTTTAAAAGAGTAATGAGATAACGCCCACGGCAAAACCTTTTTTAATGAAGGAAATTGTTGTTTTTAATATTACATTATAATATGTTGTGTAAGATTATTTTGTTTGCTAAGTAGGTACTAAAATTTTACTTATTTAAATAATTAGGTATGTCATAAAAAGTATACCTTCTTCACGTAATAAAGAATAAAAAAGTAATACTTTTATTAAAAATGTAATACACTAAGGCGCAAAAAGGTTACATTTACACGTATAAAAAGTGTCGCAGACAGCGCCCTCCAAAACCTACATTAATTTTTTCAAGAAATTTATTTTACCGACTTGAAAAACCCTTTAATATCAAATTTTGTGCAAAAACGTTTGTTTTTTCCAAAGTTATTTAATAAAATCGAACTTTCAGGAACACAGGAATTTTGGAGTCTATCTAGGTCTACTAAATACGATAATAATAACAAAAAAATGCCTTCTTCATTTTTTTAAAATTTACCACAATTTGAGCCAAATATTGAGTAAAATTGTTAGATAAGAGGTTGTTTATTTAGCTTTAATTTAAGCACAGAACGACGCCTTCAGACCAAATAGTTGACTCAAAATTTGGATTTTGGGATGATTTGGCGATGTAGGTACAATAATAAAAATCCGCCGACAACTTTTGGCCTATTTTTCTAGTTTTCCGTTATGCCCCCTAAAAAGTGCAGCTTCTAACAGTTTATTTTGAAAAGTAGAGTCAATTTTTAAATCTGAATTGTTTAAAAACTAGCCGTAAAAAAATCTATATATAAAATATTTTTTATCATATTTTGTCGCAACGTAAATTATTAGAAACATCAATAACAACAAATTTGGGGTGAACAATTTTAAACCGGGTTTCACTGATTTTCCCTCAATACCTATTTAATAATAAAACCCTCACTGTCACTGGGTTTGCTTTAAAGTTAGCTCGAATTTTTTTGTTATGGCCTTATGAAGTTTTTGAGTTTTGGGTAATTTATTGTAAATTGATATACGTAAATTTCGCTCACAAATTGTTTTTTTAAGTACTTGATTTTTCTCGTTCCGACTTTTTGTGAAAAGATTTTTGATTTCAAAATAATTTATATTAATGAATAAAATTGCCTCTTTCTTTAGCCTAACACATAATTTCAATTTGTTTTAAAAAAATTCCAATGTTTAAAATGTCCCTTTTTTAAATTTTAAGTTTAATATGCATTACTTGCGTTATTAAACGTCAATATTTTTTTAATTTACATAATTAGGCTATTTTTATAAATTTTTATATATACATATTTTTAAAATAATAATAAAAATGTAAATTTAAAAACTATTTTTATTACCTACTAAAAATATAATTATTTCATGGTTTTATGCAGTGTTGCCAACTATAAAAAAGATAATAAATAAAAATGTTTTTACTATACTAATCAAACAAACAGTAAATATTTTGTATAAATCAAATGTTATAAAATTAAAAAACACGAATAAAACAAAATCTTAAAAATTTCGATAGACGTAAAAAACTCTCGAACTAGGGCTTACTTTTCAAAGCACATTTCTGCCAAAAAATTTAAATATGAAGTGAGAATTAAGTTAGGCAATTTTATAAACACTTTACCCTTAAACTAAATTTGTTCATAAAAATAAATTATTTTCAGAATAAAACCTTTTTACAAATAATCGGAACGATAAAATATTTAATTTTTAAGCGAAATTTAGGGCATGTCAATTTACAATCAGTAGGTAACCTAAAACTCAAAAACTTTAAAAGGCCATAACAAAATTCGAGCTAACTTTTACAAACCCAGCGAGGGTTTTACTATAAAATAGGTGGTGGTTATACTGTAAGAAAAAAAACAATTAAATCTGGTTTTAAAGAATAGCTTATTTATGGAACAACATCTTTATCACATCATCCAAGTCCTCGCGCTCAGACTAGTAGAGATTTTTCGGTATAACTGTTAATCTTTTGAATTTTTAAATAATCTTTGCAGCATTATAATGTTAAAAGAATTATAAGGAAAAATAAAAAAAAAATATTTTTGTTGATCGGAAAAACGTGTGTTAATAGTCTAAAAATGGTTTCACAACTCACTTAATAATAGTATCTTTGGCCTCTTCGGAGATCGGAACTTCAGCAGGAAAGATGAGGGTCTCCCTCCAGTTCATCACCTTGCGGTACGTGTCCTGCGGGTTTTCGCTGCAAAACGGCGGATATCCGATCAGCATCTCGTACATGATGACGCCCAACGACCACCAATCGCACGCCGGGCCGTAACCCGTTTGCAGGAACACCTCGGGCGCGATATAATCGGGGGTGCCGACCGTACTATAAGCGAGGGCTCGCCGGTTTCTCTTCCAACTTTCCGCCCGCCTTTTACTGTCCATCGGACTAGAGGTGATTACTACAAAACAATTTTCACATTGTAAGGACCCCAAAATTTCTTGTCAATGTTGTTAGAAACTTATCGCAGGAATAAGAAAGTCTTAGACAATATTCCCCTCGCTTTTTCTATAAATTAATATAGTCGCACAAACAACTTTTAACATTGAATCAATGCAATGGTAGTTTGTGCGACATAAAATCACAATTATTAAAAACCAAAATAATAATTACAAGCGGATCCTAAAGTCAAGGACGACTCGTCCTGGACGAGCATGCGTTATTGAATTTAGTTATGGCAAAATTTACTTTAATAAAATAAAATGTTTAACTTAACCTTCCGGCGGGCGCACGTCTTTTGTGCACGAGTTCGGGCGCAGTGATCTGACAGATTCAATTTTCAGATAGGCTTATTAAAGTGCTTTTTAATATTTTTTACCAAATAAATAATTAACACTACTTTTTTTAAGACTATATAATAACTTATAAAATACTATACATACATAAAATGCGCAAATAAAATCAAATATAACTAATTTTTGTAAAGACAAAAGAAATTTTCAGAAATGCATACTAAAGTGTTTTTTTTATATTTTTACCAAATAAATAAATAACAACGTTTTTTAAAGCTTTTAATAAATAACATAAAATTAAAACATACATGTATTTATGCATAAATTTCGAAAATAAAATAAAACAATTTTTTTGTAACGAAAACTAAACAAAATAGGTATTTTATACAAATATTGTATATCAAAACAAATAATTATGAATAATTATTAAAACTCCTCATTAGATTTAGTAATAACAGTTTTATCCAAACATGAAGTGCATACGAAAATTGCAAGTTGTAAGTGCTTTTTGACATTTTTTGCACTTTACTTAGAAATCGGTCTAATACCCGATTCTGAAGTACATGGTAAACATCTTCGTTTTTAGGTGGTTGTTCTTCTTCTTGCTGAACTATCATAGTATAAATTTAAGTAAAAATGCATACAAAAAGTTATAAATCAATGCTTACGTTCATAAAAAGTTAAAAATTTGTAAATATTAAATTATAACGCAATCGGGCGCACTGTATCTAGCAGATCAAAATGCCTGCCACCACCTTACAAGAAGATTAAACACAAACTGCAGTAGACATATCGGTAGAAGTCCTAAAAATATGAAGCTACTGAAGGGCGGGTAGTTATGCCTATAAAAACAGTGCGTTCGCATGCAATTTTTTAACTGGTGTATCTCTGGTTGCGCCCGCCGGAAGGTTAAACTTAACTAAACTTAAAGAAACTAGTTTATTTTCCGTGTACACAAATTTACCGTAGGGAGCAGAAAAATACAACTAAAAAAAAATCCAATTTTGACAATTTTTGAAATATTTAAAATGCGTGAGCGACCCCTAAAGAATTTTTAATTGACCTAATTTTTGGAGAGAGCTCTTACCTCGTAAAATATTAATAACTAACAAATTTTTATACAAGACTGGAAAAAATAGTTATTTTTTTGGGCCACCCTACTGTAAAAGAGATTAAAATAAATCAATCTAATTTCTTCACAACCTCCTTTATATGGGTATCAAATGAAAGGGTTTGAAAAGTAGAAAACGATAAGGTGGGTAAAAATTTTGGAAGTTATGAAAATGTTTAAAATTGGCACTTTTTAAAATTCCAATAGTTTTCAGAAATTTTAAAATTTTCATATTTTCCACACTAAACTCGTTCCAGCCAAATGTCTACACATCCTTTGTACAATGGCACTCAACTGTGTTTTTAATTTAATTATTTTGAGATTCAATAGTAAAAAATAACCAAATATCAATGACTTTCTGTTAAAGTATCGCAAGCAACATATCTTAAATTTCGGGAATAAAAAACATTTTTTGTTTTAAAGTCTGTTTTAAACCATATACAAGGTGTCCCTAACTTATTGGCATAAATTTAGGAAAAGATTGAGCAAGTCAAAATAAGACGAAAACCTAAATAAATATTTTTACTAATTACTTGTTTCCAAGATACAGGGTGATAAAGTGTTACTTATCATATCAGTTTTTTTAATATAACTTCTAGTATGGTAGTTTTGGAAAGGTGATATTTTGGGAACAGTCACTTACTACCAAAACACATATTCACACATAATTACAATTGTTTGAGTAAACACAGTGTCCTAGAAACGGGGGTTGATTTAAGCTTATTGCCCCATACAAACTTTGGGTTAGGTTTTTCTAACATTTGATGCAATTTTTCGATTACACAGTTCGGCTACCATTAAAAAGGTGTACCTCTCAAACTTCGATAAAATAAACCGTTTCCGAGATATTCGAAATTATAATAATTGTTATATCGCATTATTTAAAAGTATTAAAAGGTATATAATAATAATAATAATAATAAAGGTCTTTATTCATAAATAACAATGGTATCTAAAAAAAAACAAAAGTAGAGATAGAGATTGGCAGTAAGTATTATTATTTATGAAAAGGCGAGATTCAGCTTGTTTATTTGGACTTGGACTTGGTCCAGCACAATAAACAGCTGTTCTTCCATCTAACCCTTGACTTAACCTAAGGTAAACAATAATTAAAAATGTAACATAAAAAAAAAAGATAAAAGATTCTTAAATGTATAGGTAGGTAAACAGATGCATATTTATTTAGTAAATAAAATTAGATATAATTAGATATAATTAGATATAACTGCTCATAAGTTTCTTCTAAACATTGTATTTAATTTTTGTTTTAAATTATTTTTTGATAGCTCATACAGTTATATGATAACAAATTTTATTTTTTAAATGAATAAACTAAAAAGGGCATTCCATAAGCCTCGGGACTTTTTGCCCTGACCGTCATATAAAAAAAAATGGTAGTTTTTCAATTAAAAAATTTGTTATCATATACCTTTTAGTCCTTTAATGCGATATTACAATTATTGTAACCTCGAATATCTCGAAAACGGTTTATTTTATCGAAGTTTGAGAGGTATACCTTTTTAATAGTAGCCGAACTAAGTAATCGAAAAATTGCGTCAAATGGTAAAAAAACCTAACCTCAAAGTTTGTATTGGGACAATAAGCTTAAGCAACCCCTGTTTCTACGACAATGTGTTTACTAGAGGTCTAAAACTATCGATAGTTGGCACTATCGATATTATTCGATATTTGGTCACTTTACTATCGATAACTATCGATAGTTTTCGATAGTGAGAGTAAATTATAAAAAAACATAATTAAAAAATAAAAGCAAAGTAATTAATTATTTTTATTCAAAACTCACATTACAAATTTTACAAACTGCCAGAAATTTTACAAACTTTAAACCTATAAAATCCCACAAACTTACCTTTTGTCTTTTTTGTCTCGGACCCAGATCGAGTTATGAATTTCTCCATTTCTTACAAAAAATTTAAAACACTTTGGTGAACTCTTTAGAAAATACATATATCCAAATTGATTTATTATCTATGATTGTTAAAAAAACTTTTTCTAGAACTAAGCGAAAATTACAAATTTGCGCTTCCGAAAGAAAGCGCAAAGTTACACTTTTACGAGGAGCGAGCGTTTTTTTACTTTGTCAATCTTCTCGCTCAGAGCGGCAATGTATCACTTTGCGCCCTTAATACACAAATATATTCCATGACGAAACCATGACAAAAACAAACGCAATTTCGGCGCCAAATTTCAAAACAAGACATCGGAATTTAAAACATAGTGCAATTATTTGACAGAATGAGTGTAATGTGAGTGTGCCCCTAACTTGCTATTAAAACTTACCAAGATTAAGATTTTCGTGAAAGCTTTAAAGTTAAAGCGTTATAAAACTATCGGAAACTATCGCGATAGTACTATCGATAAATATCGATAGTTTTAACTATCGAATAATATCGATAGTTAAAACTATCGATATTTATCGATAGTGCTATCGATAGTTTTAGACCTCTAGTGTTTACTCGAACAATTGTAATTATGTGTAAATATGTGTTTTGGTTGGAAGTGACTGTTCGCAAAATGCCACCTTTCCAAGTTTACCATAATAATAGTTATATTAAAAAAACTGATATGTTAAGTAACACTTTATTACCCTGTATCTTTTAAACATACGTAATAAAGAAAAAAAATTATTTAGATTTTCGTCTTATTTTGACTTGCTTAATCTGCTCCTAAATTTATGCCACTAAGTTTAGGGACACCTTGTATAAACTATAGGTTTTATAACAAGTAAATAGCTTATAATTAAAGCTATTTACTTGTTATAAAACCTATAGATTATATATGGTTTAAAACAGACTTTAAAACAAAATATTTTCAATTCTCAAAATTTAAGTTATGTTGCTTGCGATACTTTGGCAGAAAGTTATCGATGTTATGAAATAACAAAAAAATACAGAAAATTCTCGTTTTAATAAAAAAAAAACAGTTTGTGCATATAGTATCTCTTACAAAAGGATAACACATATTCTTATAAAATCGAACAAACTAAAAAATAAAATGTCGATTTTTGTTGCCTGTTAATGTTGTTAGAAACTTATCGCAGGAATAAGAAAGTCTTGGACAATATTCCCCTCGTTTTTTCTATAAATTAATATAGTCGCACAAACAACTTTTAACATTGAATAGTAGTCAATGCAATGGTAGTTTGTGCGACATAAAATCAGAATTATTAAAAACAAATTAACAAAATAATAACTACAAGCGGATCCTAAAGTCAAGGACAAGCACGCATTAGCGTTATTAAATTTAGAAAGGTATGGCAAAATTCATTGTAATAAAATAAAATTTTGAACTTACTAAAATCTGAAGGTTTGGCCTGGCTCAGGTCCCTGTAGAAGTCGGTCCTATGCGATTTTTTCAGTCCAGTGCACAGTCCGAAGTCGGACAGCTTCAGATGCCCTTTCGCGTCCAAAAGCAAGTTGTCCGGCTTAATGTCCCTAAATAATTAAAAGGACCTGTTAATTTATGCGTATAAAAAAAACCCTGAAACATGCAACTTTTTGATGTGCTATGTTATGCAATGCAGTAAGAGCTTTGTGGGAAATTGAGTGTAAGTCGTGTAGATGTGTTTGTGGTAGGGTTTAAAAATTTCCGAAAAAATTGAGCAGGCGGCAAAAAAAGCCGTTTTCTTCCGAGAAAAAAAAAGAAAAATTTGGGAAATTTTCTAAATTTTTACAGATGATATCCGTATACTGAATTTTACATTACAGTGAATTTCCGACGCTGATTATAATCATAATATTATGATTATAATAATTCATTATTATTCCTTATTCCTTTTATTTGATTTAATTCAGTAGGAATATTCTACCGGACGCAAAAACATATTCGGTGATGTATTAACATAGAAACTTTAGATTTGTTTGACACTTCGAATTATAAAATTATAATTTTGTAATTTAACTATTCACTATTTTGTAATTGGATATTTTAAATGCACTCATTTTTGCAAAAAAAAAAGACCCCACTGACAGTATTATAGCATTAATTAACTCAAAGATTATAGTATAAATTTAACGACTACGTTCATTTTTTTAAATCAATTTAATTTAATTCAATATTTAGTTTCTTTCTTGTAATAAAGGATATTTTTTTAAAATTAAAATAATGTTAAGTTGTGTATGGCTACTTTTTTCAATTGTGTATATTTTCCAAAAAAAAAATTAATTTTTCCAAAAAATTACAATTTTTTCAAGACCTGAAAAAACGAGTTTTTCCCCAAATTTTCTGTTTTTTTTTTCGATACTTTAAAACCTTACGAACTTCGTGGCGTAAAAAAAATAGTGGCTATGCATTAGGGTGGTCCAAAAAAAATTTTGTTTTTGAGTCTCTTATAAAAATATGATAGTTAATCATGTTTTGGGAGCTCTCTCCAAAAATCAGCTCAATTAAAACTACGAAGCTACGAAGTTTGAAAATTACACAAATAGTCTAAATTCAATTTATTTTGAAATTTAATTTGTGCTTCCCACGGTAAATTTTTTTACAAGGAAAATAAATAAGTTTCTCAAAGTTTCAGCTTAAAATATGAATTTTTAAAGGTCGCTCATAAATTTTTTAAATTTTTTGCTTTTGATGTTTTCGGCCTACCTTTAAATATTAAGACTTAATTTTTATTTAACTTTCAAATCATATCATTAAAACAAAAACCACTGAAAGATATAAAAAATACAGAACTGAACTAGGAAGTTAAAATGTCTCAAAACATAAAAATTAATAAACTTCAAAATTTATGAGCAACCTCTAAAAATTTACATTTTAAGCTGAAACTTCAAGAAACTCAGGAAATTTACCCAAAGGAGCAGACAAATTTAACCTAAAAAAAATCGAATTTTGACTATTTTTGAGCGACCCCTAAAGAATTTTTATACAAGACTGGAAAAAATAGTCGTTTTTTGGGCCACCCTACTGTAAGAGAGAGATAAAAATAAATCTTATTTCTTCACAACCTCCTTTATATGGTCGCTCATAAATTTTTTAAATTTTTTGCTTTTAATGTTTTCGGCCTACCTTTAAATATGAAGACTTAATTTTTATTTAACTTTCAAATCATATCATTAAAACAAAAACCTCTAAAAGATATAAAAATATACAGAACTGAAATAGGAAGTTAAAATGTCTCAAAACATAAAAATTAATGAACTTCAAAATTTATGAGCAAACTCTAAAAATTCACATTTTAAGCTGAAACTTCAGGAAATTCACCCAAAAGAGCAGACAAATTAAACTAATAAAAAATCGAATTTTGACTATTTTTGAAATTTTTAAAAATCTTGAGCGACCCCTAAAGAATTTTTATACAAGACTAGAAAAAATAGTCGTTTTTTTGGGCCACCCTACTGTAAGAGAGAGATAAAAATAAATCAATCTTCTTTCTTCACAACCTCCTTTATATATATGGGGTTAAATGGGTTTGACAAGTAGAACACGATAAGGTGTTTAAAAGTTTTGGAAGTTATGATTTTTTTTTAAATTTGCAGTTTTCAAAATTACAATAGTTTTCAAAATTTTTAAAATTTTCATATTTTTCACACTAAACTCGTTCCAGCCAATTGATTACACATCCTTTGTATAATGGCACTCAATTGTGGTTTTAATTTAATTATTTTGAGATTCAAAAGTGAAAAATAACCAAATTTTATGAAATAACAAAAAATACAGAAAATTCTCCAGTTTTAATGAAAAAAAAAAACACAACAGTTTGTGTGTATTATACTATAATAGTACCTCTTACAAACTGATTACACAAATATTGTTATAAAATCAAACATACTAAAAAAAATTATGCAAATGATACCCAAATTCATATTTAAAAAAATACTATTTCATACCTATGAATAAATCCTAGTTTGTGTATCGAATCAATGGCCAACGCCGTCTCGGTAATGTAAAACTGCGTGCACTCTTCGCTCAACGTGTCTTTTTTCATCAGCAACGTCATCATATCGCCCCCAGGTAAAAACTCCATAATCAAGTACAAATTGATGGGGTCCTGAAAGCTGTAGTACATCTTCACCACCCATTGGTGATCGGCTTCCACCAAAATGTCCCTTTCCGCTCTGACATGGGCCACTTGCTCCTAAAAAATAATCATTTACCTCAAAAAGCTCCCCGAGTTTTTTGCATAGTTGAAACTTGTCTGGTACTGGCCAATAATAGACAAGAATATTCTATTTTTCGTACCTTTTCCAGCATGTCCGCTTTCCGTAAGATCTTCATCGCGTACACATGACCGGTGTCTTTTTTCTGCACTAGGCGCACTTCACCGAAAGCACCGCGCCCGATCACTTTCAGGGGTTCAAAGTCTTCGACGCCCAAACGCGAACGTTTCAAACGCAAAAATTCCGTTTCCTTTTGCGCATGTTGCTGTCGCTTCTCGTTCTTCTGCTCCTCCGACAAACTGTCGTCTTTCAGAGATTCTTCTAATTTTGCTAACCTTAATAAATAAAGAGAAAAAACAAAATTAGTCCAATACAAGTCCAAATAATTTTAAACGTAGTGGTGTCCGTTATTTGCCAAGTTGTTTTTCTTACTACCTCGACTCAAAATACGTTGTTTCGTCCCCGATTCCACGGCAGAAAGTTTACGTTTTATGCATTGGTCAAGCTATACGCGCACACTCTAATAGCGGGAGTAATAGTCGCGCCGAGGGCATCATGGCGCGCAGTTCAGGGCTCTCACACTTTCTGCCCATGTAGTGTATACTATTTTTCTTACTACCTCGGCCGAAAATACAACCCGGCCGAAAATACGGGAAAAAATTAAATGTGTATTTATGTACCTATCTCCATTTGAAGAGCTTGTTTTTGTTGTTGTTGGCAGTACGAAATTTGAATTTGAAAGCACACGACTAAAAAATTTTTACTCCCGCTATTAGCAGGGCTGGATGCTCCCGTGTACGAGTTTTGGTTCGTCCCGCGCATGACGTCACTTGATGAGTAGTTGCCGTAAGAATACACGAATAATAGTAATATTATCAAAGAAAATAGAGAAATATCTGGACCTAATATTGAAGAAAGTGTTATAATATGGACAATAGATTCTTTCAGTCCTTGATAACATTTAGGGCTGTTGTTTAAGCGTTGGTGTTTTAAATTAAACTTATAGTTACTGTCCAGAAAATGGTTATAGGAAACAGAAGCGGTCTTAACATTAATATTGTCTATTCTTTTTGTGGCATTTTACACTGTTTCCACAAACCAAACTTTTTCGGAAATCAATTAAATTTAATGTTTTTATTTATAGGGTTTTTCTTGGACTGGTTGTCCGAATTGCATCCAAATATGCCATTTGCATTTTAATAAATGCAAATGGCACGACACAAACTAAAACACAAACCAAACAAGTTAACGCAACACAAAAACAATAATAAACAAACTGAACAGGTTAACACAATGCAATAACAATAATTTGAACACTGAAAAGTAATTCGAACTTTACCGAACACAAAAACAACAAGTTAAACAAAAAATAGAGCAAGTTAACATCCAACAGCATCGCAAAAACAAGAATTTTAGCAGCAGATAATTAAAAAGCACGTTAAAGATTTAAAAACACTCATCAAGTGACGTATTTAAGCCCCGCCCAACATGCGCACCATCCTATCTTAAGGTGTATGTATCTTGCGCTATTAGAGTGTGCACGTATAGCTTGACCAATGCATAAAACGTAAACTTTCTGCCGTGGAATCGGGGACGAAACAACGTATTTTGAGTCGAGGTAGTAAGAAAAAACATTTCCCTACCTAAATGATGATACTTAAATTATTAATTATTAATAGACATGTCACAATACAAGACAATTTCTTGTAGGAAATGTTACACTCTAAAAGGTCTTTTACGATTTTTTGCTAAATGATATCGGAGGTCAAAATTTAAAATAGGTATATAAAATAATTAAAATTATCATCATTTAACACCGGAAAAATTGTTTTTTGACTGTAAACAAATAATTTAGATAATACCCAAGTAAAAAAAAAGCCAATCCTAAATTAAAAAAAATATATAATGGCAATACGCTAAAGAAGCATCAGGTTTTCACAACGCGATAGCATTATTGAACTACAAGGTTTGTCAACAATACATTTATAGCACAAGAACTGCACAACATTTTTAAATAAATAAGTAGTTTAAATTTTGATCGCAGGGTTTTAATTGCACGTTATTTGTGTTTCGCGTTGCAAGTAAAAACTGCAAAACTTTGGTTTAGTACTCGATTTCGATTAATTATTCCTTATATCATTGATTAAGAAAGTTAATGCTTAGTTAGTGCTAGTTACGTTAATGTGTGTATTTTATCCAAGTGATCATCGTGAATTATTGTGTTTTTAATTGTAAATGTACTTCAAAAACTAAATCGTTGCATTTTCATGTTTTGGCGAATGATCCAATTCGGTACCTATATTTTTAGTTAGTGCAGAATTAATCAATGATAACTTTACCTAATATAATTTATATTGAATTATTACATATACAAAATATAATACCCGTATTTGTTTTTTACCGTTAAGTGGAGACTTTCTCAATCAACGCTTTTAATAATGCATAACGCTGTTTATAGATGACATATGTTTTATGATTTTTACTGAATTGAAATGTTTACAATTTTCACGTAAATCATTATTAAAACGTGTATTTATAATATCTAATTTATATATACGGGGACTGCATTCAATTTATTTCTTTATTCGGATTTCCACTGTTTATTGGGATACCGATAACAACTCAACCCAGTATTTCCTTTGGAAAAACAAATCGTTCCACGTTTTTTGTTGTTGATATTTTTAACATTTTCCAGCTTTATTCTCAAAAATACTTGTTTTGTAAAATAGGCGGTTACTATGATAACGGCCACGTAGTGGCTCTAATAGCGATGCTTCTTTAGCGTATAATTTTAATTTTAATTTATTTAAATATTTGACATCCGATCATTTAACTGGATGGTTTCACGAAAAAAACATAAGACCCGTTTAAAAATATGTTTTATACAGTGTTCCCGAAAATAGTGTGTATCTTCAGGGGCGCTCTTTTAAGAGGCTATAGGTACCTTAGGGGTAATTTGCCGACATATGTTAATATAAAGTTTTCTTCCCATTTTTGGCCCTAAAAACCGCTTACTATTTTCGGGACACCCTGTATATTGTTGCATGTCTATTTATTAGCGAGTTTTGATTGTTTTCTGACTTCATTAAAATGTATTTAAAAATGTTTTTAGACTGTAAACAAACAATTTAGATAATACCAAAGTAAAAAAACAACTTGGGAAATTACGGACACATTACTAGACACGACCTCCGTGGACGAACTATAATCCAAGTCCATTGTTCTAATTCAAAATTGGTCATATAATCTAACTGACGTATCCAATAATACATTCAAGTCTAGCATAGCGTTTTTATTATAACAAATCTTATTAAGGTTTTATACGTAGTTCAGGCGGGCTTAAGCTCAATTCCGCGCGCAGGCCAATTTTGCCAATAAGAAGGATGAACGTGGATTTTTGTTCCTTAACTATGAACGTGTCTCTAGACACTACGAATCTTAAATTGTTCTTTAGTATGGTATATTAATTTTAACAATTCTCTAGAATACAACAAATGCACGCGAAGAGCACGTGGACAAAACACACGCTTTTGTAATTTGGCTTTAAAATATTTTATGTTTGTTTATTGCAGGGAATTGGTAAAATGAATATACTGTAGTCAATGTAGTATGGTTTAACTCTTTTTATATTAATGTCGTTCCCTTTAACTAGTACACATATTGGTCATTCTGTATTGTGTCGCGAATCTCCTAAACCAACATAATTGGCGTTAATAAGATATAAATACAAAATCAATACACACGATTTATTGACACCTCTCGCAAAACATAATCAATTTGCTCAGGTATTTTTAGAAATAACGCATGTTTTATGTCAACACACGGATTTAGGTATCTTGTGTGGGATTACAACACAAAACTATACGAATCAATTGTTTGCAATGTTTAATTTTTCTTTAAAAAATGATAATATTTGCATAGATTAATATAGATTAAAGAAGTTGAATTTTGTGCAAATAATACATTATAAAACTGAAAAAATGACCAAAAGTCAAATTAATTTAATCAACGGTCGTAAAGAAGTTTTCCCCCGTTAATGAACGTAATAAAAACATAAAATGAACGCCATTTACCTTTGTTTTCGCTCCACATGCTGCGCTATTAAATTACTGTAGTAATTCTCTAGTGTCACTTTTGCTTTGGTGGCCTTGTCCAGGGTGTGGACGCTGAAACGGATGGTGTTTTCCGTGGCAGTCATGTCCAGGACCCCTAAAAATACAAAAAAACACATATAAGTAAAAAAAACTCGATTAATTTTTCAATTCGGGCGTTTAAGCTTCTCGTACCATCGCTGAAGTCCTCAGACATTTTAAACGTCTCAAATATTTACAACGACTGTTTCTCGAAAAAGAATCCCTTGGGTACAGGTAAGTGAAATACTAGTTAACAATGAACATAAAAAATCTGTCTGGCAAGGTCGAAACCAACCCCCCATACTATATCTAATTCAAAACTGCAAGAGGGAAAATAACTGACTTTTTAGATGGTTTAAAAATATTTCATTCTTACTTAAAATTCTTAGTATTAAAAAAATGTTGGTTTCTGTAATTTGGAAAATGGCTAAAACCATAGAAATAATACTATTATTTCTATGTCTAAAAACTCTTTCAGTAAGTTCTAGATAGTTTGTTTAAACAACAGACAGGGTGTGTTAGTTGGCTGGTTATGTAAACATTCACACGAAAAATTCTACTGACAGATTTTACGTGTGGGTAGGTTTGTAAACATATTCACTTTAGTTTTGTGTTTTGTACGAAATGCCTACACCTTAAAATTACGTAAGCGTATTTGACCGCCGTCGAAATGTTAAAAATAAACTTGGAAAATCACCACGAAAATGACTTCATTTCGCCTAAATATCAACTTGAACTTTTCGTTTAATCAAATATTTAAGATTATGTGTTCTCCTACCAGATTTTAAATCGGTTTTTATCGCAATTATTTGTAGCCGAAACATATTTTTTTAAATAAAATCAATACAAACGGATGTTTGTTTTGTGTACAGATAATGTAAAATATCCAAGTTTTATCAGAGCGAATTAATTGGCAAATGTTTAATTAAGGATTATTGCATCAATATAGCATGTTTTCGATATAAACATATAACTTAATAACATTGACATTGTGCATGCATGTACGCGTAAGGCTAATAAAAACTGGGTTAAGCCAGATTTAAAACTTGATTTTCAAACTCTAATCCCATAGATAAGGCCGTTCATTATGTAAATGGGTGTGTTTAGGACCTTCCTTAATTTACTTTTTTATGGAGGCACGAGATAACACTTTTAATGGGGTCAATGTTACAGGTTTAGGCTAACAATGCACCATTTCCGTATATGGATTGTTTTACACGCCTGCCCCATTTAAAATTGAAGTTTACATATTACCACAATATTAGTAAAGCAGACTTTAAACAGGAAAATATTATATTTTTGATAAAGTTTGTCCTTGAGTCCAGAACATAGCATTTATTATATTGCCAAAACCTGTTAATTTTTTAATTTAGACCTTTTAAAATACCCAATAGCTTTTTTGGAAGACAGGAAAATACTGAAAAACCCAAAAAATGGATTTGACATTGTTAAAAGATTAAGCCTGATATTTTAATTAGCAAGTATAATTGACTTAAGTCATATATACTATTTTTAAACAGTAACATCTAGATATCGTGAATGTTTACAACCAATCACATCATTTGACATTTGAAGAAACTTTAATATTAGACTTAAGGCACCTGATCCAGATATCTTCTATAATTTACGACCAATATAATCAATTAATACTTAAAGAGACGTAAGTATGTTTGATTTACTTAAGTCATAATATTATATTATAAGCTATTTCAAGCGCTAAAATCTAGATATCGTCAATATTTACCGACCAATAATAATGAAATTGCCGTAAATTGCTGTGTAAACTGCCTATCATTAAAGAATCAAACACAGTCGGTAAAGTGAGTAATGTTAAAAATATTTCGATTTATTTCAGTTGGGTTACCCTTATCGGAGAGTCCTTTGTTATAAACAATCGCCAGACGATGAACACTCTGGAAAATGTTCAGAAAAAGAGATCTGGAAAGTAGTGTAAAATAAACGCAAAAATTGCACAAGAGTAAACGACGAAACACGTTTTTCTCGATACTTTCGCTGCGCGCTACAAAACGAACTGACCGCGGTCACTGTCAACGGCACACACACACACACACACCAACAATGTTCTTGCTTTTGGTTGCAGCGTTGCCAAACGTACAATCATTATCGGGAAAATAAGAATTTATTAACTCACTGTTTTATGGTTAACTCTCTAAAAATGAATTAGTCAAAAATGACTTATTTAATAGCTGCTTTTTCACTTGTACCATGATTAACCATGGAATACCATGGTATCACAAAATTTATCAGCCAATTCTTATGTAAAATTGTCCCCTAAATCTGAAAATACCGTCAAAAATTATAAAAGTGGAGCAGTTTTTGAGATATAGTCAATTACATATTAAATGGAAAATTGAATATATCTCAAAAACTGATCTACTTTTTTAACTTTTGACGACATTTTCGGATTCAGGGGACAATTTTGCATAAGAATTGGATGTTAAATTTTGGGATACCATGGTATCCGATGGTTAACCATGGTACAATTGAAAAAGCAGCCACTAATAACTATTAAATTAGTCATTTTTGACTAATTCATTTTTAGAGAGAAGGACCTTTTAAAGGACTCCTAAAAAACTACTAACAACAAAGTGTTTTTAAGAAGATTGTTATTAAAGTACTTGCGTGATAGTTGAGATTTACACAGGTAATCGGTGGCTAAAGATATAATAAGCTTGTTGAGCATTTAAACTGTCAAATGGACCTCAGGGACATGCGCAATAGTAAAATCGCGACTATATGTGCTGGTAATTGTGATAATAGGGACAAAATCAAGATTAGACAAAACTTTATTCACAAGAACTTTTTTTTGATTCTTGGCAACAGTGTCGGGATAGCTGCCTCCTGATGACGTCTGTGCGGTGTCGGACGATACTTCTTGTTCTCTTCTTCTTCTTTTAGGTCGACCAGACAGGTAAGGTAAATGGCTATATCGCAGATAGAAGAGTTAGAGCGCGAGGCCCAAAGTGACCACGGGCACCTTCTTATTTAGCTATTGGCGACTTATCAAAATACCAGGAAACGACAATTTATACCTGGCCAGATATTCACTCTTTGGTTCAAGATTGCTCTGGATGCAGAGAATAAAATTAAACATGCATAGATTTCCATTTATCACAAATTTGGAAAACTTAAAACTTAGATAAAAAAATACAAATAAATCGAAATCACAACTATTATTTAACCACCCCATATTAATTTAATTTTTTTCCAAACAAAACTCCAGTAAAGTTAGCCGATTCATATGGGTATTATTGCAATTTATTAGTGAGGACATATTTTTTTGCGATCGTTATGGTACCATATAAAAAACTTAAATCTGAGGTTTATCAAACCCTTGCAGCTTTTCCGCCATCTTGGATTACACTGAAAGAAATTTGTTGCTAAAAGTAAATACAAATTTATACTAAAAATTTTATACTAGTGCTTTACACATTTATACTACTGTTTATTATGAATGTATGGTAAATTTTGTAATACATTTATTGTAAAGAAGATATGTTAGATCTAAATAAAAATAAACTTACCCTTACTATAAAATGTAAACTATAAGTGAATTACAGCAAAAAAATATTGCTAGAAACACCATTTATATTGCTAGGGCAGCAATAGGCTGCTAACCAAACGAATATATTTGTTTTAGCAATGTATGTGGTAGTCTATATATGAAACATAAAATATATTTGCCCTAATTATTTTTTTATTTAACTTTAGTATATATTTCTTTCAGTGTACGGGATGAATTCGTGTTTTGCGAATAACAGCCGTATTTTGATTTAATCATATGATTATTGATATTTTTAAATATTTTGCATAATTACCGAGTAACTTTCGATTATCTAAGGGCGCTACAGTAATTGCTCATATGAAAAGAAGAAATTATGGTTTGCAGAGATAAAAATCTAAAACTTGACACATAAAACAATATAATTATTTGCTATTTTTTGGTACCTCAAAATTTTTTTTCTCTGCTAGTTTTTTTACAACGTGTGCTAAAATTAGGTCATGAGAACGTGAGAAAATGGATAAAAATTCAGTCAAGTAGATACGTAGAAAACGACGTACTATATTTAGAAAGCCATAAGAGAAAGGGTTAAAATATTTTTAACCCCTTAAATAACAATGATTTACAGCCAAAATGTAGATTCGATGCAACTACTTTTTTTGGCCTGCTATAGCTATATAAAGTCAAAAATCACAATATTTATTAAAGTTTTCGAGAATTAAATTTTATTTTTTTTTATTTTTTTTTACAATTTGGGACATATCTCGAGTTATAAACGGACAACCTTGTTGCAAAAGGTGTCAAACTAAACATAATCGAATCGACTACGAATATCTCTCTTAATGCCCAATCAGTTGAGGTGCAATGGGCTCGAATATTGGACAAAAATAAGAACGCATAAGAAAGCAACATTTACCTTTTTGCCAAGAACGGATAAAAATCATCGAAATATGAGCATTTTTGAATTATCTACGAAGAGTCCACACTTTTGAAAAGAAAACAAGGTATTTATGAAAATATCTGGATGGATAAGTACCAAAGTTTATGTCCAAGTACCAAAAATAAATTCTTGTTTATTTTTGGATTTTTACGTTATTCGTAGGGTATATATATACTGTAATTTTATGCCACAAATGCAGAAAAAAAATTTTGTCGTTTATAAATTAATGACTGAGATTTTGTTTTCTTTAAATTTTCATTTTGACGGTGTAATGTCAATGCCAACTTATTAGGTTGATAAAACTATTTATTGTAGCGTCAGATAACACAGTAGGTACAAAAATTAAGATGGGAGTCTTCTGTTAGACTTATTACCACTTATAAGTGGTAATAAGTCTGATTATTAAATTCAAAGATAGAAATATATGAGTGATTCTACAAAAGTTGGGCAACTTTTGACCTCATTTTGTTTATATAGTTTTCGGAGAAAATTAAACAGTATTTTGTTATGAGAACATAGATAATATAATAAATATATTGTTCCAGATCGGGCCAGTCACTTTTTTAAACAGTTTCTGAAATATCTGTTTTCTAAATTTGAATGCAGGGGAAGT